GCTGTATATCAAAAACCCTTAGAGCTCGTAAACACTTTCAACAAATATAGGGCACAAAATCAGAAACTTCTCTGACCATTAATAATCAGCTGCCTGAAGTATTAGCCCCTTGCCTGGAGATAGCCTTATCTTCTCCAAACCAGCAAACCATCAGCCAATCTGCTCCTCCCAGGCCTTCGGCTCTTCTATTTATTTCATAGGCAGAGAATATTTGTATCATTCAGGTCAAGCATTCCCCTCTTTTTGTTGTTTTTTTCTCAGACATTAGAAAGGTAGGGAAATCATACTACAAAGCTATTGGCAAAGACTCTTAACATGTACAGGGTAATTATCTCTCTCATCTTAGTGTCCAAGGGAGAACAATTACACCTACAGATTCTAGGACAGAACAATTCTCCACATACAGTGTCCAGGATGGACCAAGTCTCCAAACACAGTGTCCAGGACAAAACAGCTCCCTATAGGCATGTCCTAATAAGAACAGCTCTCCACCTACAGACACCAGAGCACAGCAAATCTCCACCTCCAATAAGTGACCTCAAAAAGGTCACGATTTCCTTGGCTGAGTCTCTCACCAAATCATAATAGCATATAATATTCGTGGCTTGTGAAAGGCACAACAAGAAGGACAATTAAATAAAGCAAGCAAACCATGGCATGCCTCCCCATGTGTGGACTCCTAGTGTCCTTTCTCTTTAAAGCCAACAAAGGTGGTGCCAACTCTGAGTTTGTGACACCTGAAGGATACTTCTCCACTGCCTGGAAACTCTCTCCATCTGTGCATTTGTGAAGCTTCCATTGCTGCACTGTTTGCTATGTGTGGACATCACCCCTACCATACATGCAGACATCACACGCATAGCCCTGTCTTACTCTGTTAGGACAAGTCATTGCATAACAAAGAAATTTTTCCTTTCCTTCTTAGACCTACTTGCTGGGCCTCTTTGCCTTCTGCTTGTGCTTTCGGCCACTTAATTTCTCCTCTCAACCCAGCTCAGTGAATGCTCATATTGCAAAGAGTACCAATAAGGTACAAAATCTGGAAGAGCTACCAGCATTAAGACCTTGCTGTCTACAGGAATGTCCTTTCAAACACTTTTCCATTTGACTCCAGGCACTTACAAATTCCAAAGGTGTGTTCCAGCATTATAGCAACAGTATTTAATGGCTGATACTTTGGGCATTTTACTGTGTCCGGCTCTTTGCAAAAACAGTCAACCTGACTTATCTCAAGAAATCTTTTAATAGTTCTAGAAAGAGGAAGTTTCTCACAGATCACAGTGAGACCACAGAGCTTAAAAAAATAAAGATAATACATTTATGGAAGACGCAGGGCTCAACTGACAGAGTTGGGATCAGCCCCACACAGCCCCAGGGCCTGAGACTCAGGGCTCACTGTCCCCTGAGGCTTCCCACCCTCATGACAACTAAAACACTGCTCTTCATCCTGTTCTCATGCTGACAGGTAGAATGGCTCCTTTCCAAACCTGCTTTTTCTGTTGAGGACGTCATCATCTAGAAACTCTAGAAACATCTAGAAACTCATCATCTAGAAACATCACATAACCTTCACACCTCTTATAATCCTCACTTGCTGGGGCCTGACGTCCTATCTTCCCAAAGCAAGGCAGAGTCTGAGATGAGATTTGGTTTGAGAAAAAAACGTTGGTTTAATCAAGGCCAATCTAAGTCTCGCCTTTTCACTAATTTTGCAATAAACTTTTATTTCAAAATGTTTCCAGCAATTGCTGAGCAGGTAAGCAAGAGTCCCAGTGAGAGTAACACAGTGATCACAGCTGATCACTCATTTTTCTATCAGTCTATGTGCATATATGTACCAGCAGCCGTTAGACAGATGGAGGATGACATCAAGTACGCACGTCACTTAGACATAAAAGTATCTTGAAGGCGAGGGCCAATGGCATATGGAGGGTTCCCAGGGATGCTCGTTCCTCAGCCTAGGATTGTGGTGGCTGGGAACTTCACCCCACGCCAGTCCGAGGCTCACAATGCCGCCATCCTTGAAGAAGCAGGCGTGCGGGGTCAGTGCAGCGGCCACACGTGTGTGGCAGTGCCCAGACACCTATGCCCTGGCAGGAAGAGTGGGCCCTGGGGTGTGTGAAAGCAGTATAAAAATGAGGAGCCAGCAGGATGTCAGTTGAAAACATCCAAAATAGATAAAGCAAAGGAAAAAACCCTGCAACTCTTCAACGCATGAGTCCATAGTGACAGCAATCTCATGGTGGCGTGGAACAGAACGCTGCCTTTCATCGTAGAACTTTCCCGATTATTGAATTCATAATCTGTATGTGTGGCAATTAGGTTCAGCAAGGCTGATAAAAGCAGGAGAAAGCAAGATGACCAGCTTGCCACAGTATCAACCTGACACTCCACATCCTTACCATGTGCCAGGATAAATCCTGAGCTCCTTGTGAGATCTCCAGGTGAACTTGGAGACACCAAGGTCGTGCATCCATGGGATTCAACTTATTTTCCGGAGCTGCTGTTTGCATAGGAGTTACAGATATCTTTCCATGGTAGTCACGCAAGGCATAATCATTATGCTAATGCAGACCACTGCGCAACGCAGCTGGTGTAAAAATGAGTTCTTTGGACAGCTGGTAACTGAAATCGCCCAGACCTCTGACTTTCAGAGTCTCATCTCTATAAGAGCTGCAAGGATTATCTTTTGAAGTACATTCTGTCAAGCACAGGGCTCCATTTAGAGACAACAGAGGCCTCAGGGTCGGAGGGTCTCTGGTGAGAGGGAATGGGGCTGTGGCCAGCGGTGGGGTAGGCCTTTCTCGAATGGCAGCTCCCTGATGCACGGGGGGGGTCCTGTCCTCGGTCCAGAAGGCCAGCTTATGTTCCCACATGTACGACTACGAGGGAGGCCCATCACGCGCTAGCTTGAACTCCCACTGTGCTACGTGTGGAACTTGTTTCTCAGAAGACAACTCAGTGACTCCATGTGAGACAACCCTGGGGTGTTCAGGCAAATGCTGTCTGTCTGTGGTGGAAGGTAGGTTTCCGCAGCGCCATCAAAGGCTGTGAGACTTGCCACGTGGGCTCCTGCTAATGACATCTGTGAGGGAAGCCTCAAGCAGTTCCTGGAATGAAGTGAGCGGAACTTTTGGGAAGCAGAGGTATTTTCATCTTGCTTTTAGACACCAACTCACCCTCCATGGCCAAATTCACTTACATTGCTTCTGGCTAGGCCACATCTGCACACTTATAAGAACTCGATCATTGATTTCTCTTATGATCCAGTTATCCCAATCAATAGGAAGCTATTGTATCTTCCAAAATGTTTTATTTAATCCCCTTTAAATCTTTACTAGGCTAACTACTGAAAAATGCAAAATTTAATATAAATTTATTAATATGAAGGTAGAAGATATTTATAACCACAAAAGCATCTTGACATAGTTTGCATTTAGTAAAATATGGCTTTAGGATAGGAAAGATGCGAGACAGCTATATTAATCTTGACTGTATAAAGTATTTAATTTACTTTATATACTTTGAAAGGTATGTAGTTTTGCAATCATAGAATAGACCTTCCATTAAAAGAAACTTTTGGAGGAAACGTGAGCCTTAAAGTGGTATACTAGTGCAATTCTATAGATGGACAATTTTCACTAGAAGGAACTAAGGATACAGTGACTCACAATTTTAATTTTGTCTCTTGTAAATTTGCAATTGAGTTAAATGCAAAGGCAACACAAAATAGCCACGGAATAAGTATTATAGATAATTGAACTTTTCCCTTAAGGCAATAAAAGAAGACTGTGGGAGTTGAAATGCAGACAAATGAAACATAGTTTCCAAAAAGAAAGCACATCCTTGGAAGTGTAATGGCTGCAGGGAATAGGAAGGGGGGCAGAGACAAGGAAGTCCAGGGCGGAGTGGAAGCCAGGGCAAAAGCAAGGCATGGAGCCCTGGAGCCACTGCGGGAAGTCTGGAGGAGCAGCGCACAGCTCTGGACATGAAGACTGTCATCAGTGACGGGGAGGCCAAGACAAGTTTGAAGCCAGCCCCAAGTAAAGTTAGGGAGATAAGTCCCTACTGCCCAAACGAAATAAAACCCAGTGTGTCAGAGGGCCTGGTTCAAGTGACACTGAACCACCTTGCAAGAGCTAGAGCTGGGTTTTCAGCATCCAGTACCCGACTACCAATCAGTCAGTCTGTCAGCCACCAATAAATACCCGACAACCCATCAGTCTGTCAGCTACCAATAAATACCCGACTACCAATCAGTCTATCAGCCACCAATAAATACCCGACAACCAATCAGTCTGTCAGCTACCAATAAGCAAACAGATCAGTGTCAGACTTGAGCGCAAGGAATATGCCATCAAATAATATCTCCGATAAGATGTGAGAATAAATTCTCACGAGTACTCACCAAGTTACTTTGGAATTGCATTAAAAGCTCAATAAATACCCCCTATATTTTTGTTTATGCCCTCACAAAATAAATCTTTCAAGAAATTAAAATTTAAGGTTGGTTCTACACTTCCTTAAAGATCCAAAGAGAGAAATAATTTCACCAGAAAGGCCCAAAATTGCCAGGATGCAGGAAAGGCCACCAGCCTTACACCAAGTCGCAGCTCAGGGCAGGTGAAATACGGCCTTCGTTTACAGTTGACTTGAAACTCGGGTGAGATGGGCATCCGGAGCTTTCTGTGAGTTAATGAGGATGAGCTGAGAAAGGAGGCAGAGGACGAGACTCCCTGGTGGAGCTGAAGGAGGTCGTATGCCAGCAGGGACCCTAGAACCTGGGGCAGTTTCTTACCCTGTGTGACCACAGAGAAGCCCAGCATTTAAGAGGAAACCATTCCTGTCAGCTCCTGAGCCTTTACCAGCATGGGGCACAGGCCTTACTCCTGTGGACACTTCAGGGCTGACCCTGGGCACACACGAGGGCCACACACACCAGGACACCACCACTTCTTGGGCACACACACACTGGGGCCACACACACTGGGGCACCGCACCTCTGCAGAAAGGAGCCGGGAAGTCCCAGGAGGCACCGTTCCCAGGGCTGACGATGCAGGTCAGGGTGGCGTGACCCTCCAGGATGTAGCCCGACAGGCAGCTGTACCGGATCTTGTCTCCTATGTTGAAGCGCGAACCGTGCAGGACGCCTTTCAGGATTTCCCCGGGGTTCCCGCAGGTATGGCTGGGTAAAACTGTGGAAGGAGGGAAAAAATGTTAAGTAAAAAAGTTCTATTGAGTTCCATTTATAGGCGAAATAGACACCACAGTTGAACTGTTAATGTTAGCAAATTTGTGACAGAAAAATTTTCAATTGTACCTAAAATATAAATAGTAAATGTCTAAATTATAAACAATGAATGTCTAAGACATCAACAGTAAAGACCTAAAATATAGACAGTAAAAGTCCTCACGTCTTGGAGTGCCTGAGCTGCAACCTTTTTTAAAACAAAAACAAATACAAGTATTTTCTTAAAGGATAAACACAGGCATAGCTTCCCTCTCGCAAAAACCATGTCTCCCTATTTTTAACAATGGCTAGAATCTACAGCTCATGTACAAGGCATCACATCATCCAGCAAGGTGAAACCGTCTGAAAAAAAGTGCTAGAGATACAGCAGGAATAATTCCTCGTGACATGTTTACTCCCATGCTACCAGGACAAGAACAGTTCCAGGTGCATACAGATAATTCAATCAGTGTTACAAGTATAAAACCTGCAATGAAGAATAACCCCAAAATCTTATTTGTTAATCCATCAGCTTAAAGAAAAAACAAAATTGGACATTCTTTTAACCCAAGCCTACCTCCTGCACATTGATAGCTTATGGCTCAGAGCTAGATTTTTAACTATTTGTATTGACAAGTTCGATGGTAATCTGCAGTTCAAACATAAGGCCTTGATTTTATTCTTCCTGACCTTTTTATAGCGTGCCTTGATAAGACTTTCTAGATCAGGTATGGTGATTCATGCCTGTAATCCAAGCTACTTGAGAAGTAGGAGAAGCACGACTCAAAGCCAGCCTGGATGAAAATTAGCGAGAATCTATTCCCCAAAGAAGCCAAGAGCCAGGAATTAGTGGATCAGCCTTAGAATCCTAGCTATTCAGGAGGTTGTAGTTCAAAGGCAGCCTGGACAGAAAAATCTATGAGACTATCTCTAGTTAGAACATATATATTCCACTATCTATAGATAGACATTATCCATCTCTCCCCCTATGTACATATCTACTGTTATAGACATACACATAGATTTGGATACACACATACACACACGCATTTCCACTATATATGAAGCAAGTGGAGAGTACGCACGCTCTACAACGAATACCATATTTCACCTACTCGTCAATTCACGAGGAGAAAGAACCCTTTCCCAGCAGGCTCGGTGCCCAGCAATAGCCAGAGATCACGGCCCTGCGGTGGCCTGCAGGTCCTCTCCAGGGGGGAGGTCTAGGCTTGGGCAGGACTTCAAAGGTTCCTTTCTAATCTAGTCTACAGATTATGTCTTTGCTGTAAGCTGGTGCTTAAGGACAACAAAATTCAGATGGACATCTCAAGCGCCAAGTTCCTGTGGGGCCGAGCCTGTGGAAAGGGCAGGAATTGTGGGACAGGAGAGTCAGTTAGCTCTCTTCCTTAATTCCTGATAGCCGCTTACTTACAGGAGATGTTTGAGGGATATTACTTCACAGTTAAGGTGTGAAGATGGAATCAGATATCATAGTCTACAAATATCTATTCTTTCTGACCCTCTTATAAGTTTGAGTTGCAAGTAGCTGTTAGCAATTCTACAGCTCTCCAATTGTCAAGACTGGGGACAGTCCTTCTTATCTCTGTCAGTGCTTGGTGTAGAGCAGGTGCTTCAGAAATCCATCTTGGTCCCGTGCAATGATAAACACAACAATTCCTGTCATACAGATTATGTATCCTCTTTGTGTGCATAATCCCTGTCATACAGACTATGTACGCTCTCTGTGTTCACAATCCCTGTCACACAGATTATATACACTCTCTGTGTTCACAATCCCTTCATACAGATTATAAACCCTCTCTGTGTTCACAATTCCTATAGTACAGATTATATATCCTCTCTGTACTCACTGTGTCCGACACACAAATCTCATAAGTATGATGCAAATAGGAAAATACCAGACTTCTAAAAAACTAATCTTCTAATAAAATATCATATATAAAGTGATGAATCAGTTAATAGCGTGTAACTTTAAATTACTTTATTCTCACATTGGGAAAAAGAGGTTTGTAGGTACCAGAGTATAACATCCTTTTTTTTTTAAAAGGAAAAAGAACTTATTAAAACTACCTCTCAAGGTTTAGAGCCATTTGGTGGTGCTTTAAAATCCTGTAGCTATAACTTTATATAGTTATAATATTATAGACTTATAACATTATAAAGTTACAAATTTATGATTTAGGGATTAAAGATGTTGGATTCCAGTCAATTTTATCTTTTTAATCATTTAAATTCTTAGCACAAATAATTTCTATAACCAAATATAGCTGAGAAAATGTACCTCCAGTTACAGACAGCAACATATAAACACACTCATATGACACAATGATCAGCATGATGTGACATGTCTATAATCCCAGCATTCAGAAGCAGACCTGGGAGGATTGCAACTTGGAGGCCTTATCTCAAAAAAGCATCGAAGTCTGGGGAGGATCTCAGTGTGAGAAAGCCTTGTTTAGCGTTCACGAGGCCCAGGGCTCAGCCCTGCAGAAGAAATCAATGCCATCACAATCTGTGATTGTGAAATTGTGAAAAACAGCTAAGGTAATGGACTTGCACAGACATTGAAGACTCAGATACACAAGATTTGCCAGTGATCGGCGATCCCTCAAATGAGGAAAACTAATTCAAAATAAGCAAATTCCTCTCAGCTTTTCTCCTGCCAATTTCGCTTTAATGAATCAATTTCTTTCTTTTTTACACCAGTTTTCTTAAAGATCACGAAGGTCCCTTGTGTCTGCCCCAGAACAAGTTCACACGAAGCATTTAGAAAACACTTACTGAACTCACTTGAACTCGGCTTTTAATTCTCTTTAATTCCCCTTGAGAAATAGACCCTATTTCCCATAGATGTCTCAGGAACAAATTCCTTTACAGCAGAGTTCTGCACTCGGGCGGGAAGAAGGCCAGGGTGGTGCGAGCGGTTTGTGAGAGAGCGCTGGCCCGTCCCCCTGCACAGACCCACGAAGCCGAGTCTGCATGCAGCCTCCACCAGGGATGCAGGCTGTCTGCAACACCCGTCAGCCGGCAGAGGCGGACAGTCACAATTCCGAGACTTCGGCGATCACATCAGACCTTTAACCCAGCTGCTTAAATAACGGATGTCACATCAAACCCTGTGCCAGAGGAAGGGAGAAGACCACGGCGCGATGGAACGCAGAGTTCGCATTCAGTACCGGGTGGGATGAAGGGCTGTGGAAGGGGCATTTGGGAACCAGCAGAGGAGCCTGGGAGGGCCGTGTGCTCGCAGGAGATGGCCGTAGGCTCGCTCCTGGGGAGCCGACGCCCCAGGCTTTCCCTGGGTGCTTTGTTTCCGTCACACTGCGCCTTCCGGTGGCATCCGCTGCACTTACACAGATCCTCACTGGCTGCCCTGGCCGAGCTCCCCGCAATGGAACCCACAGGGTAGGCCCGTCAGCCGTGCTCAACAGGAAACAGGGATCGGGAGCGTCAGACGCTTCCTGGAATTCCCGCTCTCTCCCTGCTCTCTCCAGAACCTTCCAGGCTGGCACCTCTGAAGGATGGAGGTGTGTCACAAAAGGGAACTACTGGAGACCCCCCACACACACACGGATTTAAACATGGTCTCCAAGGAGGCACTAGTGCCGTGTGGAAAGAGGTGTTGTGACACCCACAGCCTCCAGTGAGTCTGCGGCCAGGACCACCCTGACCCCTGACCTCTGACCTCTGCCCAGCTCAGCTGAGCCCGGTCCCTGTCCCTGGCACTCAGGTGACCTCACTCCAGTCTCTGCAAGGACCCCCAAGGCAGCTGAGCAGTGCACAAGCTTCAGAGACTGGGAAAGGGCAGGAAGAAAGAACAGAGTGTTCTCACACGCCATGTCCCCTCCCCGGAGCCCTAGGGAATGGTCCCTGGGGTGTCAGAGCCGTCTTGGAGGGGGGCTGTCAAGAGAAAGGGCAGAAGGACAGTCTTCAGCCCCAATCGGGCACTTCCTCAGTCCCGACTTCCAGAAGCTCGAATGCACGGAAGAAATTGTCTGGTGGAAGCCTTGTAGCCTGTGGCTCCTTCTGTTACTCATTTACTTAATAAATGCTGGGTGCCCAGTGACTGGCCATGCTGTCTTCCTGCGCTGGGCACACGTGTGTGTGTGTGTGTGTGTGTGTGTGTGTGTGTGTGTGTGTGTGTGTGTGTGTGGCCCCATGTCCTCGTCTTCACCATGATCCATCATTACCTCCTCGAGAGGGCCTCTTCCGGGATCAGTATATACCAGAGGGGTAGGCCTCTTCCGGGATCAGTATATACCAGAGGGGTAGGCCTCTTCCAGGATCAGTATATACCAGAGGGGTAGGCCTTTTCCGGGATCGGTATATACCAGAGGGGTAGGCCTCTTCCGGGATTGGTATATACCAGAGGGGTAGGCCTCTTCCGGGATTGGTATATACCAGAGGGGTAGGCCTCTTCCGGGATCAGTATATACCAGAGGGGTAGGCCTCTTGCAGGATCGGTATGTACCAGAGGGGTAGGCCTCTTCCGGGATCGGTATGTACCAGAGGGGTAGGCAAAATAACTTTAAATTAGCAGTTTACATAGGATTTGAATAATATTAAAAGAAAAAAATGTTCAAACTACATAGTGGGTCAGATGTTAGGCTATGCACAAAATAACACAAGGAGGTGATATTCTTTCTGGAATAGTGTGGGATGATGGTTTTTATTAGGTGGTTAGGGCCACTTTAGTGAGAAGGAGACCATGAGTAAAACGTTGTGAGGAGGATGTGAACTCATTCATATTATTGAAAGTATCGAGTCTAGTTCTCATTTATGCATTACTGCAAAAATTCACATTTTTCCCCTGAAATATCATTCATAGTCCTTAAAGATGTTCTTTCTGTATTGGGGCCTCAGTACTTTTGTGTAGAACACATTCTTAGAATTTCTACTGAAAAGACATGAGGCCCACGCTCTTTTCCACTATTTTATGCTCTC